CTTAGAGCCTTTTTCCAAAATGTATTAAGTTAACGGCTCCAGACACATTGTCGGAAACAGTGGTGTTGGAACTTTTGATTTCCGTCCAGAGTTAAAGGCCTTCAATGTTCTACAATTGCATCTTATAAATTAGCATTGGTTGATCCTCTGGTGTAGGGTTTTAACATTACTTTGAATCATAGAATTTATCAAATGCTCAGATCATCCTTTTTCATTCAGAGAACCCCTCGGCCCAAGAGAATCCCACCTTGGTCACTAGATAAAGTTACTAACTTCTTATGGGGCTTAACTACAATACAAATCTGAGCCGACAGATTGCTCCAGAAAGCAGCATTCCTTCTAGCAATAGCAACAGGTATGAGAATCAGTGAGCTGGTTTCAATTTCCAATAATCCATCATTATTTCCCACGGTGATTCTAAGAAAATTGAAAGGGAAGATTTTCAAGTTCAACCTATCCGGATCAAATGGCTGATGGATGAGACAAGGGTTCCTCATATGTTGTGCCCAGTTAAGAACCTTCAAGAGTAGTAAACCAGACTCCCTAATTGAGGCCCCTATGGAATTTCATCACAGGATGGTAAGAAATTGTCTCCTAGTCAAATGACAAAATATTTATCTCAGTTAGTGAGTAAGCAGACCCTGGCAAGAAATTTTGGGCACATGTCACCAAGAAATATGCAGGGTCTGTGGCCTTTCTGCAGCATATGAGCCTCAGTCAGATCAAAGAAGCAGGCTTTTGGAAATCTTCAAAACCTTTCAAAGCAGCTATCTTCATCTATCTCTTTAAAGATGCTCCACATGCAGTGGTCCTGGGGTCCTCCTCCAACTCGCCCATCTCCAAAACCAGGACCTTTTCTTCCTCATCAGAATAGAGTGAGAATCCTGACATGGGAGTTTCCGACCAGACAGAATGCTGGACTAGAGAGGTACAACCTGTACTGTATTATTGTAATAAAAATATACTGTACTGTATTATTGTAATAAAAATATACTGTACTTTATTATTGTAATAAAAATATACTGTACTGGTAATTATTGAAAATTACTGTACAGTATACAAATAATTATACAAAACTGTAATAAAGTACCTGGTATGTGTGCCATTCTGAAACTGATTACCGTGATATCTCAGCCTATAAGGCCAAGACGGCCCCCCAAAATTTCCATTTAAAAAGTAGCTTTTGAGCTCTAGCTGCATAAGACCAGTACCCAAATGTGACACTTACCCACTGACTCAGTAGTCCTCTACCAACCATCCTTGGTTTTTAAAAATAAGGCCAATTCACCTCCAAGTAATGTCATCAAATGTTACCCGCTGTGTAGTGTAAACACTAGTGACGCCACTGAAGGCTCTGCTATTTACCGAACCGGAACTAATGTCGGTTGTTCAGTAAAATTTTTTCCATTTACTTGAAATGGATTTACCAATTCATTTGTTTATTTATTTATTTCAATTCACTTCAAGTAATGTCATCAAATGTTCGCTGGTGTAGTGTAAACACTAGTGACGCCACTAAAGCATCGGCTATTTAATGTAACTGAACTAATGTCGGTGTTCTAGTAAAAATTTTTCCATTTACTTGAAATGGATTTACCGATTTATTTGTTTATTTATATATTTATAATATACTGTAACATATTAAACACACTGCAAGTATTTCTTAATTTATACGCTTGTTCCTGCATGAGGTGATCGGGTGGGAGTGTTACCTGCCCTGGTGGAGGGACTGTGTTCCACTGTTTATACAACAGACACCAACTCATTCTAATTGTGGTGTTCATCAGGACTTGGAGGAAAAGTACATGATATATATATATATATATATATATATATATATATATATATATATATATATATATATATATATATATATATATATATATATATATATAATATATATATATATATATATATATATATATATATATATATATATATATATATATATATATATATATATATATATATATATATATATATATATATATATATATATTTATATATACTGTATATATATATATATTCACAATATTTTATAATCACAGTCATGTACTGAATATTCTATGCAAAAAATATAAATTTTAAATTAATTATTTCTAGTGTGGTCAACTTCCTACACAAAGACAGGCTATAAATAGCTGTCTTATCTCCACCTCCCTCCCTCCCTCTGTTCTCAGAGAGGTCTTGGTAAATAACTTTTGTTTGTTTAATTTCATTGTTTGTCTATCATGTTGTATCAAAGTAATATTACTAAAAGTTTTAGGCAGCTACCAAACAGGGAGATTCTACTGCCTGGGAAGATATTGGAAGCACAATGTACAGTATTGTCTAATGGTAGACCCTACTACCATATGGCATCACGAAAATTGTGACCAAGTCTTAGGTTGCTGATTAATCTTTCTGCCTCATTTACACACAATTGTAGAGTTTCAATTGTTTCTCTTCCTTTGACAACACAACATACATACAATATAATGTTTCTCACCTTTGATCTTTTTTCCATTTATTTATGGTTGGTTATTTAAAATAATGCCAATTCACTTCAAGTATTGGCATCAAATTTTACCGGCTGGTGTACACTAGTGACTCACTTAAGCGGCAGTTATTTAATTGGAACTAATGTTGGTGTGAGTAAAATATTTCCATTTACAGTGACCCCTCGTTTAACGAACGCCTCGGTTAACGAAATTTCGGTTAACAAACTGCCTTCCATAAGGATCTTCAATTCGGTTAACGAACAAAAATTCGGTTAACGAATTTCTTACGAACCAACCTCAACATGTTTTCGCCTGCACTGACCGGGCAACCAGCTTTAGTATCAGTCCGCCAATACATTAATCGGTTCTAGGGCTTAAATTCCTTACTATTTTAGTAAATATCAAGAAGTTTATAATATTCAATAATTTTAAAAGTTTAATATTAAATTTTTTAGTCATTTTAAGAATTATTGAACATAATTGAAGGTAAAGTGACTAGTTTAATGCGCGGCATCCAGCCTCTTAACACAGCAAACAGGCGTTAGTCTCTCTCTGTTTTCACTGGAGGTAACATCTTGCTTGAGACTCTTCAACTAAACGCTTTTTTTTCTGTGTTTCCAAGCAAATTATTGGTCATTTTGAAATATATTTTACATATTGACAATATATAATGCAGTGCAGTGTTGATTTAAAGAAAATAATCTTGAATTACACCAAGAGAACTAAAATTTTATGGTGAAATAAGTTGTTGGAGTGATCAACTCCCCAATGCCTTCTTTTCCTTCTCCTCCTCCACCTCCCACTTAAAATGCACATCATCATCATCATCCAGGAGCCTTCTACATACACACCTCAAAGTAAGTAAATTTTTCTGCCATTTTTGTTGAAGTTAGGAAATTTTCGGTGAGCTGGAACCAATTACCCAAAAACCCATTGAAACAATGGTTTCGGTTAACAAACTTTTCGGTTAACGAACGACCTTCTGGAACGGATTGAGTTCGTTAATGGAGGGGTCACTGTACTGAAATAGATTTTGTTGATTTATTTGTTTATTTATTTATTTATAATATTAGTTGTATCCTCGCTAATCGCCGTCAATTGTACTCACAGGGTGACCGCTAAGTGAAAAACCGCTAAGGAACAACAGAACATATGGGATTAATTCCAATAGAGACTGGCTCCACCCCTCAAACTCCACTTTGACGGCTAATAACAACTATGTTGTAAAAATATATTATCTTAATTTTTATGATGGTATGCACACACAATTAATAATTAAGAGAAATATCAATAATATTAGGTTTTTTAACACTTACATTAGTAGAAAAGATGACTGGGCACACGGGGATGGGCGGTTGGTTCCGAGGCAGAGGGCAGATTATTGGCCCTCACCTGTATCACTTGTATCAATTGTATCACTATCCACCACAGAGGCTTGCAGGGCCTCTTTGTCAAACCCCTCAAAGTCCATATAAGTCCATATCCTCTCTATAATTATCACTATCACTGACTTGGGCCGGCTGTGGTGGGTGGCAGGTGAAGAACTCGGTAATGTTTTGACGACTGGGCGACCTTGTGCGCATCGTGCCTGCGCCGCTTCCCGCGTATATGAGTAGATGAACCGCATTAAGTGAAAGTTCGGTTCTGGCGAGGCACCGCGTATATGAGAAATCGCGTTAAGTGAAACCGCGTTAAGCGGGGTACAACTGTACTGTAATACATTAAACACACTGCAAGTATTTTCTTTAATTTATATACTTGTTTCGCAAAAAAGGGAGGCTACCATTATAACTGGTAGGTGATCATTAAGGACCAAACTCCGAATCCATGACGTGACTTCTGTTAATCATTCTCATCCTAAATTTACCACTGTCGGTAGTTTCAAGAATTAACTCAGTCATTTACTGAATATTCTTTGTAAAAAAATAAATTTTAAATTAATTATTTATAGGAGATAAGTATTATGATCAGTAAATATACAGATATGCATTACTGACCACCTCCGAACACAAGGACGGCTAAAAATAGCCACAGGCGGTCACAGTCAAGGTCACTTTCCCTTTCTTATCATTGCCAAAGGGGGGGTCGGTGATGATAGCAGCTGTGTTTATTACCGGGGTATATTGTTCTTTTACGGTATGTTAGACTGGTTTATAATACATTTTTATTATTTTAATATACCGGTAATCTTCATTTTAATCCAGCTTCCCAAACGTAAGTTTCAGTATAAAATAATTAATGGTAGGACTTTGTGAGTGGTTTACCATGTTTCCATCACCACTCTTGACACGCTAAACCGCAATATTTAAGAGGTAAGAATTTTATACTTGGTGATTAAGACGACCCCCTAACTTTGGGCAGATTTTTTTAATGTTCAAATTCCGTCTTATAAGCCGAGATATACGGTATGGTAAAAATGTAAAGGAAAATATGGAATAGCAGAATGCATCACATATTGATGAATGCTATTGTTTTCTTAATATTTATCTTCATTCAAGAGTTTGCTAATAATAAAATACTGAGCAGCTTACCTAGACTGAGCTCGAAGAGCTGGATCTAATGAGGGAACTGTGATGGTGATGCAGACCTGTACTGTGTCACCTGCAAGGTGCACTGGCCCACCTAACACTTGAGCTCGCACTTCCACCATTTTCTGTAATAAAATATTATAACAGTCTTTTTAGATCAAGAAAAATATATCAAGGGCCTGATAAATTAATTCTATGTTGTGTTTATAACATACAGTATTGTGATGCTGTTAAAATTGAACAGAGCAAGAAAAATGCTTGTCAAAATTAAATACTGTAATGTATTGCACTGGCATGGTTCAGGTCCTTTAGTATACGTACCTGCAGGAAAAGGTCAGTTTATACACATCAATGAAGGGACGAGGAGGAAGAGGGTACACTTTCCCATAGGGACCAAACGATTGCCTGGAAATTGCATCAAAGAAAATACAAAAATACAGGTAATGATAAAGTGTCCATATAACTTGTGTTTTGTCTGTTAATGATTGGGTCAGACAACATACCAACCACAACTAACTGAAAAATAATCTAAGATTGTTAAAATAGGTCTTGGTGGTTCATTTTATCTGTTATTAGATGTGACATAGCTTGGTAACTTGATCATAAACATAAGAGACTCGATGCTTTGCAAGGACATGCAAATACTGTATGATCTTTGCAAATTCATATTTTTCCATTCACCCAGACAAAATTATTATTTTATACCTGTAGTACATGAAAATGAACATATTAGTAGATCCCTTCAAAATATTACAGGTTTTAAGGTGGTGCCCAGCAAACATGGGGCTGAAGCTGGCTTTTGCTTCTGGAAGCCATTTTTGAGGGGCTTGGCTTTGAACCCACAGGCCTGGCTTTGAATTTTCTTCTTTACACAGACACACACACACTGACCATATCGTGATGTCACAGCAGACCTGATCTCTTACAGTTCTGTTCCCAGAATGACCTAACCTTAGAGAGCCCAGGTGCATGCTGATCCCTCCTATTGGCCTATTCTCATAATGACCTCATCTGAACCTCTGACAAGTACCACCTCTGCCTCTCTGTCTTCTCAGCCCCAGGTACTGCTGGCTAACCGTCAGCAAGACCTATAGAATATAAGGTCTGCTCACGCATTTAAGAAAATGGAACCTCCCGAAATTCATACTGTTACTTGTGTCAACCCCTCTCTGGCCAAGATCACATAATATGCAAAGAATAAATTTTAACCTCTACAGTTGACCTCTAGGGGTAAAAAAAAATACAATGGACCTCACACCTGACTCCTAGTCAAGATACTTTACCAGATGCATAACCTGTCATCCCAATAACCTCACCTCACCATTTCAGCTTGATGTTCCTCATTTATACAAAAGATTTAGTGCTGGTGTTTTTTGGGCTATTTTCATGTACAGTACTAGCAAACCAAGTCATTGAGATTGAATGAAATATTAACTTAGAAAAGAGAATTCTGACAATTTGCCTTCCACTTACAGAAATAAACTATCTTGACTTTGAAGGTAAATCTAAGAAGATTGCAGATGGTCAGATAAATACTCTAGGCAAAATAATATATTTACACAATAACCCTTAAATAAACAAATTTGCTTTATATATCAGCATCCATCTGGGATGCTTGATGGCAAATTTTGTCAACGGTAATGTTAATGTCTAATTCCTTCTTCGGTGAATCTGCTTCAGATCCAGCACCTGTGATCACCAAGCCTACCGGGTACCCCCCCCCCATATATTCTGGTGTAAGTGGCGGTGTAATGACCACGGTCGTAGACATTACAGTAGTTAACATAAAATTAGACAATTCATATTGCTCTCAATAGCCCACAAAACATGCCTCCTTTATTGAGTCCCCCATCTAAGGTGTCCGTTTTCTTATTGCTTCAGGATGCCTGAACCCTCTGTTTTCTCTCCATTTCATGTATCTCATAGACTAGGGGTTCTCAACCAGGGGGAAATTCCCCCCAGGGGGGGAATTCAGGTTTTCAGGGGGGGGGGGAAAACTGATTCGGGAGCAAGAGATATGTTCGATGAGAAATCAATCACAGAATTTTGGCCCTTGATGTGCGATTCCTACCCAAAAGTGGCAGAAAGAGCTATCTGTGCATTGCTTCCGTTTGTGTCGACATATCTTTGTGAGTCAGGCTTTTCAACTCTGTTGCAAATTAAAACGAAGCAACGTAGTAGATTAGAGGTAGAAAATGACCAGACATTGTTCAAAAACACGATCCTAATTGAAGAAACAATCATGGGTTTCATTGATAAATTCATCTGCATAAAAAATTAATTATAAATTACAATATCCTGGTATTCTATTGAACTTTTGGTTTATTGCATTTAGCTTCAGTTTATCCTGTTAAGTAATTCATTATAAAAAAAAAAACTATTTTTTATTCAAGTTTTATAAAACCATCAACATTTAATTGGCATTTAATTTGTAAACCCACCATAATCCATGTAAAATAAATGTATAAATATGGAAAAAATAAGAAGATTGTATATGATATTATTTGAATGCAACTTGGAGCAGACAAGGAAAGAGGGGAAAATGATTCTGACATATGGCGGTGCGGGGCAAACAAGGTTAAACCACTGTCTCATAGACTAGTGTTGACTTCCACTAGAGATTTAAATTCGAGAGAGAACCCAATGATTTTACAATTGCAATATGTCTTGATAGATGAACATATCAAGATCCTCGTGAGTGACGCTAAAGCTCAACCATTAATAAAAAACGTCAAATATGAGTTGAGTCCGCTGAAGAATATCCTAATATCGCCTCAGATAGCGAGTTTCCAAGAAAAACCTCCGATTAACCCAACTCCATTAACCAACTCAGATTAAACCATTCCATCCCAAAACCCCAGCACAGGCCACTGACCCACATCAGCCTAAAGCATAATGTAATTATAATGATAATGATGATGATGATGATGATATTCATATCAGCATTAGATAGATGATGATGATAATGATGATGACATTCATTTTTAAGATGATGCTGATTTTGACCTCAATAATAATAATAATTAATCTATAATAATAAAATAATAATAATAATAATAATAATAATAATAATAATAAATAAAGAACAGAAATGCAAAAAATTATCAAGTATGTTTAAACAATAGTAAGATAAACAATCTGAGACCCCAAATGGAATGAGAAAGTCAGACCCGACCAATGTTCCTTTCAGATATCATATTTCGATTCTTTTCCATTTTTATTTACGTTTTTGTGGGTTCATATTTATTTACTAAAAGTGGTTAATGTTTAAAGGTAAATCAATGAATGGTGGAAATGAACAAAAATGAATAGAGAGATAAATGAGGCAATAGATAGGTACTTTGAAATGTAAGTTTTATTTGCAGACTTTATTTATTTAACCGACCCTTGGATTATCCGTTTAGCCTTCCCTATGTGGGCGGTTAATCAACAGTTTTATACACCGAGATTAGATCTTCTGATGCTCACAACAGAGAACTGATGTTTGTAGTTAATGATTGAAGCTTATCTAGTTTTAAAAGCCATTAATCTCCTAAAAGAACATGTTAACTTCATTCTCTATCTAAACGTATACCCATAGAGTCCATGTTCGACATTATGCGATGTTAGAAATCGATAACGTGTGTATTCGATGTCAATTCACTTTTTCGACAAGTCAACTCTGATTAGATTGTAACAATAGATGTAAGAAACTTACCTGAATCACACACTGGGTTTCATAGTCGGTTCAGCACTGATTTATATGCGAAATCTGTCATTTACAAGACGCAGCCCTTCTGGCAATCGGTGCAGGCCTGAGTTGCCAGTTAGCGTAACGCATGACGAGAACGGCATCATTCTCGAGATTAGATGGGACGATGATGTCTAGTGCCCTGGGAACTAACACCCTTGAGATGAGCTCTCTGGCGTGTGTCAGACTACAACCGACCTAAGAGCGCTCTTCATTTGTTGGTGTGACACTAGTGTACTCCTCACAATTACATGGAGCAGAGTGTTATTGTGGTACATGATAGGGGATAACTAGCAGAAAAATAGTTATGCCATGTCGAGTAGTGAACCCATAAATATTGATATTACCAGTAATAACGTTTTTATGTGGGTTGTGAGTACATCATTCATACGTACTACCAACTGAGTCCTACCCATTATTGTTGTACATGATTGGGGACAATTAGCAGAAATATAATTGTCCCAAATTGAGTATTGTGCTCATAAATATTGAAATTACCAGTAATAACGTTTTTATGTGGGTTGCGAGTACAGTATAGCCTTCATTTACGCGGTCAATTGAACCCACGGAGGTCCGCGTAAAACGAGAAACGCGTAAACGAAATAACAGAATATATGGGATTAATTGAAATAGAGACGGGGCCGGCCCCCAAACTACACTTTTTCCGACACAATAATACGTTGTAGTAAAAATAACATCTTAATTTTATGATGGTATGCACACACAAATAATATTTAAGAAAAATACAGTTGCTGGTTAATGTCCATTCAAATAATGGACTCAACTCTCCCCCCCCCCTCTTCCCATGCTCGCTGGCTCCTCCCTCTCTGAGAAATGTTTGGGTGAAAACACTAGGTTTTTAGGTTTAATAATAAATAATACCTCAGACTATGTTTAGGATAATATAATTGACATTGCTGGATTCCTTGCAAGACTGCCAATAATTTGAATATAAACATCATATATTTAGCACAAAAGATAAAATTTTACTCTTTCTAATAAAATTCTTAAATTATAGATCTAAAATTTGTATGTCTAATGCAAATTTGAGCTTCTTTATATTCAAATTAATCACTATCTTATAAGACTTCCAGTAATGTAAATTATATTCTGGCCGGGTAATTTCTATGAATTTTATGAGCTATAAACAAATATCTTCAGTAAATAAACAAATTATACTTCACCCAGACACAATACGTTACGTAACGTTGTAGTAAAAATAACATCTTAATTTTATGATGGTATGCACACAATTAATATTTAAGAGAAATATCAATAATATTAGGTTTTTTAACACTTACTTAGTAGAAGAGATGGCTGGGTACACGGGGATTGGGGTTGGTTCTGAGGCAGAGGGCAGATTATTGGCCCTCACCTGTATCACTTGTATCACCTGTATCACTATCCACCACAGAGGCTTGCAGGGCCTCTTTGTCAAACCCCTCAAAGTCCATATCCTCACTATCACTGACTTGGGCTGGCTGTGGTGGGTGGCGGGTGAAGAACTCTGTAATGTTTTGTTGACTTGGTAACCTTGTGCGCACCCTGCCCGCGTAAATGATGGAACGAACCGCATAAATAAAAATTGTCGGTCTGGCAAGGTGCCACGTAAATGACCAAACGCGTAAACCAAATCCGCATAAATCGAGACTATACTGTACATCATTCATATGTA